AAGAGAAGAGGGAGCGGAAAAGGGGAGGGTTGCTGGTGGGAGGGAAGTTATGTGTGTGGGGGGGAGCCATTGTAATCCATAAGCTGTACTTCGGAAATTTATATTCATTAAATAAAAGTTAAAAAAATTGAAAAAAAAAAGAATGAGTTCAGCTCTAGAGATTTGATTCTCAAAGTCCGACAACAGTATGTAGAGCTCAAAGTAATGAATCTGAAAAACTGGGACAGAGTTAATGCATCATTTATTAATGATCTTGAGGGATTTTTACATTTATAGTTGTTCCAATCACTAACAAGTAACTTTTAGATACCATATAATACATCAGTGGTATAATTTCTGTGTGTATTAGATACATATTATAATAATTATTGAATGTCACTGTTCTGAACAAACATCCCTGAGGCCACACAAATAGTAAATTATAGTAGTTTTGAAAACACAAACAATAGCTATTACATTTCCATGAGATATCTGCAGTAGATCAAACTCCCAAACCATAGAGCTTCCTTAAAAACAAACAAACAAAAAAACAAAACTGAGAGATAGAAAGAGATAGACAGCCAGTCAGAGTTCTCTTCTACTGGCTAATTCCCCAAATGCTTATAACAGCCAGGTCTAAGCTGGGCCAAAGCTGGAGACAGGAGCCAGAAGTGAGAATCTAACCTGAGCACTCTGAAATAGGATGCAGGCATATTAACTGCTAGACTGAATGATCTCTCCCACACAGCTTCTAAATTTTTAATATTCATGCATGTCACTTAGACAACTTTTACAAAGTATGTTCTAATTTTCTTTGGGAATCTGGGAGGGGTCTGAGCTCAGCATTTTTAACAAGATCTCAGATGGTTGCAATCCTGCTGGTTCATGGACCACACTTTGGGATCAAGGCAATACACCACTTCATTTGCACCCTGTTTTACTAGAAACTAAATTTCAAGGATAAGTTGGCTCATGCTTAGTTCAGTGATAACAACTAGAGTATCTGATTTCAATGAGATGCAATTCCCTTGACTTGTGAACCAATCTAAGTAGATCAAATAGTCAAAATTTTAAGTGACATAACAATTTTGATTATAAAATGTAGTGTATAGTGATTATCAGTAAATTATGGTATATACTACAAATCTTCTTAAATACCAGGTACCTAGTGTTCACAATAAGTCTAATATGTATGTATGATCACTAACTTTTGAAGACACAGAAACCCAAAGCAAGTGGCTACCAGCACGGGTCACTTAGCCAGCAGGTCACTGAACATCCAAACCTTTGAGATCATGCGTGCATTCCTTTCCTTCATTCTATCAGCTGAGCTTGCTTTTGGGCTTTGCTCCATGAATTAGCTATACCAATATTGACACAGAAAAGAGCCAATACTGAAACATCTTAGACACAGTCACATTCTTAGTTTTCTTTATATGCACAGGAGATCAAGGCCAAATTTATTTAGAAGCATTAAGGATAATTTTCAGTGATTTCACATCAATAAGAATCTGTCTGATTACAAACACCAAAACTGGATGTATCATTTTATTATGCTGCTACAACCAAAATTAATCTGTTTTCTTAGTCCCATTGTTCCAAATCTTTGGATTTGGTATAGCTAGCAGGAGATTATTTCACCTCTTATGTTTATTTTAACAGGACTAAATTTGTTAGAAATGCTGTCTTCTTTATATACAGATGTTATAAAATTTTATAAAATCATACTCAGCTCAATGTTGCTCTGTAAATGTCAAGTGTATTTACCATCTTTAAAGGGCTAATATTTTCATAGAAAAACAATATAAGTTACTGTGGAAGCAAAGTAATGACAGTAAATGCTGTCAGTCACTAGGAAAATAGCAGAATCTCTACATATAAAAACACATCAGAATAGACAGCAAAGTTGCTTGACAAGAGTGTGCTTTCAAATCATGTTTGATTCTTCCCAGGGAAGAAGCACTATGTTCCTAAAGTTGTATTTATGAAATGCATGAAGTTTGTATACCTTAAATAAAAGGTTTCTGGGTAAAAAATATAAAGACATTAAGCAATAAAAAAACAAAGTATGTTTGTGATGTTGATGTTATTTTTCTGACAATTGACAAAATAGCTTCATCCTTGAAGAAAATGCCCATTTTGGTGCCTCTTTCACTTTGTTCATCCCCATCAACCTTTGAAATGTCTTTCCATCAACCTTTGAAATGTCTTTAAGAATAATAAGCTTATTTTGGAAAGTTGCGTTATAAAAAAAACATTGTATTTATTTTCTGCTTTTGTTGGAAAAGCAGAGATGTATACAGATGGAAAGAAAAGAGACTTCTTTGCTTTGTTTCACTCCCCAACTGACTGCTACACCCATGACTCCATCAGGCTGAAGCCAGGAGCTCGGAATTCAATCCAAGTCTCCCACAAGGGTGTCAGTTAATTACTTAAGCCATCACCCACTGCTTCCCAAAGTGCACATTACTCGGAATATGGAATAGGAAACAGAGCAGGGACTGGAACCTGGATACTGTGATAGGGCATGTGGGTGTCCCAAGCAGGATTTTATTGCTGAGCCAAACACTCACCTGGGAAAATTGTGCTTTTTTCTTTTCCTCTGAATACACTTAGTCCTCAGAGATTGGATTTACTTTGAGCTTTAGTAACACTGTAGACTCTATTGAGTTGAATTGTATTGAATATGTTATGCAGAGGTTCTCCATGAGAGCTGAGAACTCTGTTGCTGCAAGCAGGCTGAACAACAAATCTTCATATCCTTCCATCACATGATAGTGAGTCGAGAGGTCTCTGCAAAGTGTAATGTTGGGAGTATGTAGAATACCAGTCTCCCCAACACACAACATGGCTTCATCATTTCGTATTAGCCTTCAGGATTAATAAAAGGACCATCAAAACATCTGGCTTATTAAAAAAAGTTCAGATAGAGAATCAAAGATGACTAATAGTTTCCCCTCTCGATTTTTGCTGCCACTCATTTAAAAAGATATGAGTAGCACAGGAATCCATAGGTGACCTCTGCTCATCTCGTTCAATTCTCATTGACGACCCACTTCCAGACACTCTGATTCTGTCCAGCACTCCTCACAGACATCAAAATCTCCCCAGCTTCTTACTGTTAGACTCAGAGCTTCCTCTGCCCAAAAGATACCCACAGCCTGACCCTTGGGTTCTTGTATGAATTGTGCATTCATGTTGGAACATTTCCTTTAGAATACTAACAGGAACCACTTTTTCTAGGTCTTATTTTGTCATTTCTGCTGAAACTGTAACCAATGTGAGATCAGTGACTGTTTATTCACCACTGTATATCACTATTCATAGTGCTTGGACCCAAGTGAATATTTATTGAATAATGACTCATGATCTAGAATGTAAACTCCTAAGGCATTGCTCATGTTTATATTCCTTAAAATGTCTTCTGATTTATGCCTTGTGCATATAGAGGCCAATTCAACATGTGTTGCATTTTTTAATGTAAAAGAATCTTTGCAAGAAGAAATTGAGGACTGTGCAAGTATGCTTGTGAATAAGCTCAGTTTTGGTGAGTTTCTTTGATGAGTTTGATCCAGGGATCATTTTGTGTTTCTTCAGTATTGATGGGCTACGATATATGACATAATATATAAGGACATAGTGACCCATATGAAGAGGATAATTCCTGGTTTCTCGCTACATATACACACTGGAACATTAATAAAAACAGGCCAATCCTAAGCCACTACTCAGAAATTGTAATGATTTTTTTATGGATACTTAAATGTTTTGTTATGCATTGATATAATTTGGAAGGCTTAGTATAATTTTAAAATTGCCATAATGTGTTTTTCTTCTTGTTTCTCTTGTTCACCACTGAAATGTTGCTGAATAGAATTATAATATGTAAATAAGAAGCAGAGTACTTTCACTTAATACTTTTTTATTGACAACTTCATCTTATCTTCTTAAATACAGGGTGATATATGAATAAAAATCAATATTCAAAAAAGATCAATATATAGTCTTCTCCTCAATAAATACTAAGGTGTGGCTCAAGCTAGAGTTCTAGTTTGGCAAAAGATGTAAATTTTGAGAAGGCAGGTTCAAATTCCTTATCTAGGGATATTATGGGAATGTGGCATAATGGAAACTTTTATTAAGAGCCAAGGAAGAAATCTGAACAAATATTTGAACAAAACTATTACTTTGAATGATGTCTCCCAATTAATTAGACATCATCAGAAACTAGCTCATAAAGACTGACACTTACACATCTTTGTTTCACTCTCCTTTAAAAGGGAGACAAACTGAGAAATAGGATATTCTACTTCCAAAAGGCCAGTAATGTTTTTTTTTTTAAAAAATCCATCCTGCAAAAACTTTTTATGACAAGGATTATATCCAGGAACAAGGTTTCAAAACCTGCACTATGCTCCATCGTTTTCAGTTACCTTGGATTTTAACTAGATGTGCAAGTTGACTTCTGACCATGGGGAATCCTCTCCATGCATGGATTATGGATTGTTGAGGCCATGGCAGAGAACCAGTTCCACAGAAGCAACTTCATGATCTTCTGAGGAAGATCCACAGCACTGCGGAACAAGGAATAGACATGAGTGTTGCCACAAGACAGCCAAATGAGGTTACCAAAATACAACCCTCAAAAAGTGAACTCTGAAGGTGGAGAATCTACAAAGAAAAATATTTTAGCAAAATACACTTTTAAAATGGCCTTCACTTATGTTAAGAGCACCAGTGGACAATTAATAGCAGTGATGTATACTTCTTAAGCCTGTAACAGTCAAAATATCTGTTGATTCCAAGCTCTTTAAATACACAAGTGGTGTAAATTTGTTACAAAAAGAAACTTCTTCAGCATTGCCAGAATGTAAAAAAAAAAAAATGTAATTGTCTAGAGGGGAAAACACCAAATGAATGTATTCAAAGTGGATTAATTAAAATATCTGGCCTTTAATCATTTCAAATAAAATTATAACTGAAAGCTCTCCCACCCCCACTCAAAGTCATACACAAACACGTCATTGTTTAAACTTTTTATAATGGCCAAAGAAGGGGTTTACATATATATTTTTTTTTCACGGAACTCAGTTTTTAATTTTTAATAAGTTGCTAATCCACTTTAGCCTCCAATTAGTTCCATCTCATTCCTCAACCCCTTTCCTGATGTCTAACAGTTAATGTCTGGTACCATGAATAGAGTATCCTGCGGCAATTGGGAAATTATCTGTTCTGGGCTGAAATAAGCATAGTTTATAAAGTCCTCTCTCTCTTCTTCATCCCCTACTAAGACTGATAAAGGCATTTCCAGAGGCAAAGGGTTTTCTTCCTCTCTCTGCCCATCCTCCTGCAGAACTAGCCCCTCCTCCTCTTCTGCATCCTCTTCTTCCTCCCCTTCCTCCATATAGTCAGCCTCTTCGACCTCCTCCTCCTCCTCTTCATCCTCTGCCTCTTCCTCAGCTTCTTCCTCCTCACTCTCCTCTCTTGCATCGTACACCCCCTTGTCATACTTCTCTTCATTTTTCTCTTCCTCTTCCTCCACCAGTTGCGGGATGAGCGACTGCATTTCCTCCTCTGGGGCGGGACTGAGTAGGAGAGATGGATTTTGCGCAAATCCATAAAAGGGTTCTTCCTCGCTGCCAATGAGGGGCACATCGCTTCCGGAGGAGCCCGCTGGGGAGGCCTGGCCTCCGGCCTGTGCCTGCTGCGTGCGCAGCGCCTCCTGCTGGCGGTCCAGCTTCTCTTGCTGCCTCATGTCCTCGTAAATCTGGTTCATGATGAACTGCGTGGTGTTGGGCGGAGCACGCATTCCGGGCGCCTGCCACCCGTACATGTTGACCGGACGAAGGAGCTTGTTCAGTTCCGCGGGCGGGTTCCTCGGTAAGGGGCGGCGAGAGTGGCGACGCAGGCCGCGGCCCCTGCGCCCCCAGCGCTTCTTCCTGCCTGGAGGTCTCATCCAGCCGGGGTTCCAGGGCCCGCACCAGCAGGAGCAGCAGCAGAGGCAGAATGGCGGCAGGCCATACACCCGGATCACTTGCACCTGTCTCGGGGGCTTCCGGAATGTGGCAGGAGGAGGGTGCCAGGGCCCTCCCCAGTGCCCCCAGTGGGAATACATGGCCCAAGAGGGCCGTCGGGGCGGTTGGAACCAGGGGCCCCGGCCATAATGGTACTTGGGCTGCTTCCTCGGGGGCTCATACTCCGCCTTGGGGCCGTAGCGCTGCCGCCGCTTGTACATCGGGGCGCCCCTGCGCCTCCGGTGGCAGGAGGACCAGCTGGGCAAGGGGGCCGAGGATGCCCAGCCACAGCCGCCGCCCAGGTTAACAGGGTCCTCCATATTGTCGGGGGCCTGGGTCATGGCTCAGGAAGCTCGAGAGGTGGAACTGGGGGCGTCCTGGAAACGGTCGTATTAGGCCGGATGCAAGGATCCGGAAAGCCTCGTCCTCTCGTGTGTCCACGCAGCACCACGTGCTCGTTGCCGGGACCCAGCCTTCTCCAGCAGGACCCCCTCTCTCCTCCGCTTGCTCGCTCGTGTCCTTCGCCCTGGAGTTGTCTTGCCCAGGTAGATTGGCTGTGCCTGGGGCCGAATAACTTTGGTGCGGGAGGAAGGTGTTGCTGGGCGACACGCAGTGAGACCCGCTCCCGGGTCCCACATACACCCTGCCTCGCCAGAGGCGCGGGCTGGGGACAGGGGAAGCAGGGGGTGCCCGCGTTACCTTGAGCCTCCCTCTCAACCCAGGTGCTTCACCGTCGCCGTCCTGGCTGGACTGAGGTGGTGCGGGCAGCCGCAGCCTTTAAATACCGGCCGGGAGGCTCACGTGCCCACCGCGTCCTTGGTTGCCCAGGGCAACAGCCAATCCGGACCGAGTTTGTTCTGCCTTGGGGGTGGAGGCAGGTTCTGACCGGAACAAGGTCTCCCGTGAAAGTTCGCAGGGGGCTTGTGACGAAGTTTTTGAGGGCACTGGGGGAGAGGGGCCCCGACAGGGTTTTGTCGATGCCTGAGGCAGTTTAGTTGAACCCTGTCTGTTACTTTGGTGAGCAGGGATTCACCTGAACGGTGCGAGAGAACTTGTGTGCTGAAAAACCTGTAGTCCGCATCTTTGGAGGGCCCATGGGGTAAGGAAAAGATCCCACCGTCAGAAAACTGGGCCCTGTAACTTACCTTATGGCCAGTGTCCACCACCATGCGTCCCTGGAGTCGGAATTCCTCGCACATAAAACGGGACCGCCAGCATTTGTTACGTGTGCTTCCTAAGCGCGGGGGACTCACGACACATCATCTGTTTTAAATGGTAGGCTTGGTTACCAAGTTTTCCACAACAGGAAAGTGAGCCAGTGACCTCCAGGGTTGGTACTATCAACCCATCTTAAATAGGACTCTTGGGCCAAGTAAATGAAATACATGTTGGAAAGCGGTTTGTTCCTTGTAATAGACCATGTATGTTTCCGCTGATTTAACTAACATTATTACTTAGACGAATTCCTTGAATTTTTGCCTTGAGAATAGGAATATTCCAATTATGTCAGTACTTTTGGTCCTTCACTGATCCTACAGCATACGCATCAGAAGCCTGTAAAGTATCATGGTTGAGCATATGTTTTATTTATTTATTTATTTATTTATTGATAGGCAGAGTGGACAGTGAGAGAGAGAGTGCTTCTCCTGGTCTCCCATGGGGTGCAGGGCCCAAGCACTTGTGCCATCCTCCACTGCACTCCCTGGCCATAGCAGAGAGCTGGACTGGAAGAGGAGCAACCGGGACAGAATCTGGCACCCCGACCGGGACTAGAACCTGGGGTGCCGGCACCACAGGCGGAAGATTAGCCTATTGAGCCGCGGCACCAGCCGAGCATATGGGTTTTGATTTAAATTGATGTGATTCTGCTTCACCCAGCATTCACTTGCTTCAAATTGTTTACTCATACCATAAATACAGTGCCTATTCCACACAATTTTGTTAAGGATTAAGTAAGGTACACTTCACTTAAAGCAAGCACCTGTAAGTACTCAGTAACTGACCATCACAATTCTAGTATTTACCTATTTTAAGACTCTCAGAGGAGGTGATAGGGTGTAAATAAGTTCCCCTAGCCCTGGTCTTGATGCACAAATAAGCAGTGTGGCCTTGTCTTACCACATTTGGTAGAAACATCAAAGAAGTGCTCCCAGGCTTTAGCCAGAGAAAATCATCCCAGAATATTTCCCTTGATCACTTTCCTGTGGTCAGTGGCAGAATGGAGTCAGTGCAGAATGGAGTGCTGCTCACTGGAGGGAACCTCAGTTTTGACAAGCCTCTGGTAAAGGCAGGAGAAGCAAAATGTGCAAAAGTCCTGGAGCCTGCAAAATTCTTCTATGCCCTCTTGGCTAAAACGGAGAACAGTATGGGGGTTCTTGGATCAGGACTCCAACCATTGCTTGTGAGATGTGTAGATGCTACAGGAATCTTTCAGTTTCATTTGCTGTGTGGTCCGCTGAAGGAAGCCTGCTTGGCTCAGAGTCCACAATGCTGCCACTGATGGCCTCCAGGTGCCCGTTCCAGCTCCAGACTCACACCTTTGGCAGACACTTTATTCCCACTCTGCTTGACTCAAAATGGAGAGGGGATCATCTAGATTTGCTTCTCTTGGGACATCCATGTTTTATGTGATATTGGACTCTATTTGAGAGCTTCAGAAATTGACCTTATTGCTGTATTAGAATCCTCATTAATTTGTTTTCGTTTTAAAAAAGATGACTGACTCATTTTACAGATAATTAAGACCATGTTTTGACCATTTGATGTGAGCTTTGTGCAAATAATTATGACTTTGTATACTTTCTATAGCAAGAAATTTATCTTTCATATTAATTTTATCAAAAAATCAGCTTGGTGTTTGTTGTGTAGCCACATTCTTAAGAGAAGCCAAACATTATGATTTTTATTTGTAGATTTTTCTAAAATTGGAATAATATGATAAATATTTTGAGTACTGGTAAATTATTCAAGAATATTTACCACCAGAACATGTTACATCTAACAGTTAGAAATCCAATTAAGTAATTTTAAGACAATTTTTTTTTTTTGAGAGAGACAGAAAAACAGAGACAGAACAACATACAGAGTCCCCTCCCCCTTTGCTAGTTCACTCTCCAAATGACAAAATGGCTGGGGCTGAATCAGGCCTAAGCTGAAAGCTGGAACACAATCCAGGTCTCCCAAGTGGTGGCACAGACTGGAGTTCACAAACTGCCACTTGCTGCCTCCCAGGGTGAACATCAGCGGGAAAGAGAAATTATGTGCAAAGCCAGGACTGCAGTCCAGCCAGGCGAATGTGGAATGTGGGCATCCCAAGCAAGCACCTTAACAGCTAGGTCAAATGCCATTTAAGACACATGTTTAATTGACTCATATTTTTTAAAATACTATGCAGAAAAGGAAATATTCTGATTTGATATTAAAATGGAGCACATATGCTACATTCTACTATATTTTATTAGTTTTCTGTGACTGCATAGCATATAAAGTAACTTGGTTTGTATTCTCTTCTGAGAGTTCGATTTCGGAAAATCTGCTCCCAGTCATTGTGCTTTTGGCAGGATTCATTTGCTTGTGGCTGTATGACTGAGGGTCCTGCCTGTTTGCCGTCTGTTGACTGGAGGCCACCTTCGGTACTAAGAGGCCTCTCACAAGTCCTGGGAGCCCATGGCAGTTCCCAGACCTTACCCACAGGTCCTTTCAGTGCAATTTTAAAGCATGACTGTTTGCTTCATCAAGCCAGAAAAAAGAGCATCCTCCTAGCAAGATGGAGATACAAGTATAATCTATAGATACACACACACACACACACACACATACACGGATATATCTACACACACATCATTGTAGGCTCAACCTTTGTGCCCTGTACCTTCACCAAATGCTATTGGATAGAACAAAGACCAGCTCCCACCAGCACCCAAGGCAGGGGAGGGAGAAAACACAAAGGTTTGAATACCTGGAGCTGAAAACTCGTCAGAGGTCAATTTAGAGACCATTCACCATATGTATGAAATATTTCCAGTAAAATGAATATTTCAATAGTCACTAGTTACAACTTAATTTGGAAGACTTTAAAGATATTGTTGGCATTTTTGAAATTTCAATAAATATCATAGGAAAGCACAGGTTATGCCATGTTTATGTTGTGCAGAACACTGTGTTCTTAAGTTGGAAGCACTTTTCCATCTTGTTGATAAATCTGCATTTGTGTGACATGGAAAGAATAAAGTCTAACACTGGATGGCAGTAGTAGCTCGTTCAAAATTCAATCAGTTAAAGTCCCAGTACAAAGCAAACCATGAGAAGTAAACACCTCATTTTTATATTTTTTCATGAATTCCATTTTAGATTCTTTCACATTGCCAGTTCTAAATACCCTTTATTCTGGTGTGGTGCAATTAGGTGTGTTTATTAGATTTTTAGCATTTTTCAATTGGGTTTCCAAAAGCAAATGTCAGCTAATTAAACTTGTAAATAAAATTCTTGAAAATGAATTTGGATATACCTGATATATTGAGTCAGATAAATGAAACTGAGCAAATGTTTTTAGAGCCCTCCATATAACTGATGCAATGCTATGAGATAGAAAAATAGATAAGTAATAGAATACATGTTATATCCTTTCAAAGACTTGCCTTTTTACACTAGAAAGACATCCACATACAGAATTTAAAGTCAAATGGTCATTGCCATTTCCTGGTCACAAAGATTAAGCACAAAATATTAACCCTTGCTTTTCAAGTGGGAGATCAAGAGATAGAAAAATGTTCTGCTGTCTCTCCATACTTTGAAATTTTAGGGTTAGTTCTCATATTTGTGAAGTGGCATGTGCATCAAATGCCAGTGTGGTATTTATCCATTTATAAATCTTCAAATCATTTTAAGAACATTGTGAAGAGAACATTAACTTTGTTGTAACCACACCATTTCTACAGATTGAGAGAGAAGTGAGATTTAAAGAGAAGTAACAGTTTTACACTCATAATAGTATATGTAAGTATTATTTGCCATCACTTTTTGAAAATACTATTAATCTTAAGAAAATTAACATATTAGACTCATAAATCCGAAAAACTTGTGTACTCAGCAATAATTAAATAGGAGTCAGGAGCCTAGAGGTTTGCTTATAAATAATTTTAAAGTACAATATGTTCTAGGGCAGTAGAGAGCAATGTTGTTTATTTTATTTCTTGGCAAATAACCTGTAATACTTAGAGAAAATAAATGTGTAGCAATTAAAAAGTCAGTTTTTTTAAAAAAAACTATATTGTGTTTAATCATGGGTCATTTTTAGAATTAGAGCTGTCAATTGAGAATGTGAGTCATTGAAAATGACCATTTAAATATGATGGGATTAAAATGATTTTCAAGATTAGAGTAAGTACCTAGGGTTAGAGTAAGTACCTAGAGTAAGTACCTAGGGTTCATGGTGAATTATCTGTGAAATAGCCTTGTGGGTAGGCAGGTATAATACCTGTGAGCATGTCCATTAGCAGAAACTGTTGCATAATAATGTCGTTTTCATGTCACTATTTAGTTTTTCTGGCTAGAAGCCTCCCCCCGCCCCCGCCCCAGTTTTGTAATGACGGGATGCTGAGAAGGCTGTGAAGACAGGAAGTTATTCTGGGCCAGTTGATGTTGGAATCTGATGCCATCCATAATGTTCTGCAGGCCCTTTCTTCTATAAAGATCATCCAAAACTATAGAGCTTGTTGAATAAAGAGGAATATAATACAGGATAGGTTGGTGATTGCATATTTATTATTATTGCTATGTTCAGGTTCCGTTTTAAGAAGAACTAAACATTTTCATTGGTCTATACTTTACTGAGGGTCCTCAGTACTGCGCTTACTGTGCCTAATGAGTACATCAGTCCTGCCTGCTAGGAGCTTCCATTTACCCCTTTGGCTCTAAGGAACTCAGTCCATCTTTCTGCAGATCTTCTCAAGGCCAGGATCTAGAGGAAAGCACTGGACCCTCTTATATTCTACCATCTTGATTTGAAAGCAGGCCTTTGGTCATGTGAAAGTCCCCATTGCACACAAAGACAATGCTGACCATTGCATCTCTGTCCAGTCTCTACAAAACTGGGGAAAGGTATTTTTCTAGCATCAGAGCACAACAATAGGGTTATGAGTCAATCCTTGACCCAGGTCAAGTTGTTTAAGCTCTCTTGTATGACCTGTAACTTGGAATAGGTTTTAGACCCAACTCTTAGGATGTGAATTAATACATGCTATATACCTGATACATGGTTTATATTCAATAATTAGTTGCTATTGTAACAATTTGGATGTATGTATGTATGGCATATGCACATACTACCTTTTTTTAATTTTTTGACAGGCAGAATGGACAGTGAGAGAGAGAGAGACAGAGAGAAAGGTCTTCCTTTTCCGTTGGTTCACCCCCCAATGGCCACTGCGGCTGGTGCGCTGCAGCCCGCGCACTGCGCTGATCCACTGCCAGGAGCCAGGTGCTTCTCTTGGTCTCCTATGCGGGTGCAGGGCCCAAGGAATTGGGCCATCCTCCACTGCCTTCCCAGGTCACAGCAGAGAGCTGGCCTGGAAGAGGAGCAACCGGGACAGAATCCGGTGCCCTGACTGGGACTAGAACTTGGGGTGCTGGCACCGCAGGCAGAGGATTAGCCTATTGAGCCGCAGTGCCAGCTACACATACTACCTTTTACCATGCAACATCTAGAATGCCTCAAAATTAAACTCTAGGTGTAAAAAGGATTTTCTGACATATCCACTGAAGTACACTTATTGTCTCTTGTATTTTGCCCTCTTCTATTTTAAAACAATGATGTGCTGTGGTTGCTTAATATTTAAATAACATGATATAAAGATGTTATAATAAGGAAGGAAGGAAGGAGAGAAAGAAGAAAGAAATAAAGAAAGAAAGAGAGAGAGAAAGAAAGGGAAAAAAGAGAGAAGGATGGAGGAAGGGAGTGAGATGAAAGGAAGGAGGAGGAATTGAAGAAGCGGAAGGGGAGTATTATATTCTTAGAATTGTATGTATGAACTACACAAGATCTATATGTTAATAGAAAACTATTTTTAAAAAGAAATATATTTGAAAAATATAGTTAAAAATATAAATGCAGTATTTTTTTTACTTCACTAAAATCTATTCAGAGATAGATTAACCACGATTAAAAGTTTTACATTAGACCATGTTAGATTGTAGAGGACCATATACATTCTCACAATCTTAGTAAAATTGTAAGTTGGTATAGCAGTTTCCGAATTTAGTAATATTTATTAAAATTTAAATTATCTTAGACCCAGAATTCTACTTCTATGAATTTAGTTGTAGATGTACTCTCACATGTAATGCAAATTTATTCATGTTCATACAAGTGTGTTCTGTGCAGTTTGTAAGGGATTGATAGGTGGTCTTAGAATCAGTAAAACTGCTAGTGTTACTATGGAAAACCACTGAGAAATATTTTTCAGCAAATTAAGAAAGTTTCAAACTAGTACTTACAATGCTTACAAAATGCTTACAAAAAGAGTTTCAAAATTATCCTTACAATGCATGTTTACATTTATACATACATAGTGATAAGTGTATTTGCAGCACATGTGTATGAGTATATTTTTAAAAGCATGAGGATATTAGAATTAAAAGATAAGTTCATTTTGGTGCCAATGATTTGAAACCTATATGTAATTTTTTCATACTACATGTTTTATGTGAACTTTCTGAAGAACCCTAGTATGCATAGATTTCAACAAATTCTTGTATCAAAAATATCTTCACTTTGCATTTTGTTTTTCACAAATATTTTGAAGTACCCTCCTTTTTATATTTGTAAAAAGTGAGAAATTCCTTTTGTGCAAGTCTTGTTTATTATGGAAAATGTCATAAAAGTATTCAAGGACGCATTATTTCTAGGAAATTGAACTCACAGTCTCACATTTGGAAGGAAACTCATGTTTCACTTGATAAAATTTCGTTGTTCTTGGGGCCAGCGCTGTGGCGCAGTAGGTTAATTCTCCACCTGCAGCACCGGCATCCCATATGGGCGCTGGACTCTAATCCCAGCTGCTCCTCTTCCAATCCAGTTCTGTACTATGGCCTGGGAAAACAGTAGAAGATGGCCCAATTCCTTGGGCCCCTGCACCTGCATGGGAGACTGGGAAGAAGCACCTGGCTCCTGGCTTCAGATCGGCATAGCTCCGGCCATTCCGGCTGTCTGGGGAGTAAACCAACTGACAGAAGACCTTTCTCTCTGTCTCTTCCTCTCGCTGTAACTCTACCTCTCAAATAAATAAATAAAATATTATTTTTTTTTTGTTTTCCTTAAATTTGTAACCATGTGCCTGTATAATGGCTATACAAGTCAGGAAGATCAACTCTCCCTGGAAGGTAATTCTTAACTTATTCCCCAGTGTGGTTATAATATCATACATTTTTCCATTTTCTATATTTTATTTTTTCATAAGCACAGAAATACATCAGGTAACTATTCATTTTAGGAAAGATCTAAACTAAATTTACAGACCTTTAAGATGGTAAAGTTATCATTCAAACACAAAAGGTTGTACATATCTTTCTTGGATATGGTTATTTGTATATTAATTATAACAAATATTCCCCCACATGACCATTGCTATATTCAACTACATTTATTCTTTTCTTCATGCTGTTTAATGAATTAGGGGGAAAACATGCTTTAGTGAAAAAAGGAATAGAAAAGTTTAATTAGAAGATCTAAATCTTTGCAAAAGACCAAAAGAATTCACTTAGAGATTTTTTCTAGTGATATATTTAATCTGAAATTATGTAGAATATGAACCCCCAAAACTTGCAAGTTATATATGATTTATAAGAGTATTTGCGAAATAATCTCCATACTGCTAATTTACTCCTTACTCATCTGGTATTGTCTTACATTACTATATTTTCATCATATCGTAGCACTTTTATGTAATTACATATTTCAGAACATAATTTGAAAATGCCATGCTTTTTGTTTTTGAAGGAAGCAATAACAATTGTTTTTGTTATGGTAGATATCAAAATGTTAACCATTATCTGAAATTAGACAAGACTCCCAATAGGCAGACGAGGTAGACACATGTATGCTTGAGGTGTCTTGCTGAGGTTAATGGGATTTCCATCCAGTCGAATGTCCTCCAGTGCCTTACGGATGTAAGTCACATTTTTAACATTGCAGAAGGTGTCTTCATGCATCTCCAGAATGTTGTTATTCTAAAAACAAAGAAAATACATTGTAAGACAAGGCGATATATGTCCTTAGTTTTGATTGGTATCATAGTATATTTTGTTTCTCCCTCATTTTGATTCTTTTGTTCTTTCCCCTAATTATAACTAAATATTATGTGATTATTATATGCCAAGCACTTTCTAGGCAATGGGGATGAATCAATGAACAAAATAGACATGTTATTGCCCTTATAATACCTATAACTTCAGTAAGGGAAATGAAAGAAGGTGAAAATAGATTTAAAGAAAAAAGTTATTTTCAAGATGATGAGTACTATAAAGAAAGGATGATGACTGTGGAAAGCCATCTGAAGAGGCAGCTGTATAATTGAGATTGGAATGAGGAAGGAGGAGTACGGTTAGAGTATACTAGGTGATAGGAGCCGGTGCTGTGGCACAGCGGGTTAAAACCCTGGCCTGAAGCGCCTCATCCGTACGGGCACGGTCCTAGTCCCGGCTGCTCCTCTTCTGATCCAGCTCTCTGCTATGGCCTGGGAAAGCAGTAGAAGATGGCCCAAGTCCTTGGGCCCATGGACCCATATGGGAGACCCGGAAGAAGATTCTGGCTCCTGGCTTTGGATCAGCACAGCTCCGGCCATTGTAGCCATCTGGAGAGTGAACCAGCAGATGGGAGACCTCTCTCTCTCTCTCTCTGTCTCTGTCTTTCTCTCTCAACCTCTCTCTGTAACTCTGTCTTTCAAATAAATAAAATAAAGCTTAGAAAAAAGAATATACTAGATGACAAGAACATCAAGTTCAAAGTCTTGAGCATTAGCTTAGAGTATTGCTCCCTCAAAACCCAACATTCAAATAATTGGGCTGAAGTGCAGTGCATGGAGGAGGAGGGAGAACAAGTAGCAGGAAGATACTTGCAGCACCCAAGACTGTATTTTAAAAAATAGCTTTATTGAACATATTTCACTATCAAATTTATCCCCTTCCATCATACAGTTCAGTGATTTTAGTTGAAAAAAAAAAATGACAGTTTTACTTGAACAAATCTTCAGTCACTGAGTGAAAATGATATATATTTAGAACTGATGACATCATAGCATTTGTGAAATGTGTTTTCACTTATTACTTCAAAGACAAAATATGTAGCTTAATGAGATTTAAAATAACCCAAACTTCCTGCTATATTGGTTATAAAAAAGAAGCTGAACTTTCTTTATCCAGAAAGATGGAAACATGTCATTTCATAGCACATGGGAATACTTTAGGATTGAATTTAATTCAATGCATAAACATTAAAGTAGAAAACTAAATTTGACAAAATTTTTCTCTGAAAACTGGAAGCCAAATAAGGTTTTTATTGCTCCTTTTTCTCTTCCACTTTTTTTTTTTTTGACAGGCAGAGTGGACAGTGAGAAAGAGACAGTGAGAAAGGTCTTCCTTTACTGTTGGTTCACCCTCCAATGGCCGCTGCGGCCAGGCGCACCGCGCTGATCCGAAAGCAGGAGCCAGGTGCTTTTCCTGGTCTCCCATATGGGTGCAGGGCCCAAGCACTTGGGCTATCCTCCACTGCACTCCCGGGCCACAGCAGAGAGCTGGCCTGGAAGAGGGGCAACCGGGACAGAATCCAGCGCCCCAGTTGGGACTAGTACCTGGTGTGCCAGTGCCGCAAGACGGAGGATTAGCCTATTGAGCCAAGGCGCCGGCTCTCTTCAACTTCTAATTCTTAGACATTTTTTCATCACAGCTTTCATTTTTTTTTCTAAAGAAGTTTTCTACACAAAAAAGATGTATTTTGACTTGGAAAAGAACTTTAAAATGACTAAGATATCTATCAGAATAGAATATGAATATGTATGTGTCTTGTACTTAAATCAAGAGAGAAAATAAATTTCAAGGCAGGAACCAGAGTTGTAGCAGTGATTGCAGCCACTGCTATGGGCCGGTGCACCCCATATCCAAGTGCCAGTTTGAGTCCCAGCTACTGAGTTTCCAATCTACCTTCTAATGACCCTGGAAGGCAGCAGAGGAATGCTGAAGTACTCGGGTCCCTGTCACCCAGTGGGACACCTAGATTGCATTTCTGGATCCTGGCATCAGCCTAACTTGGCCTCAGCTGATGCAACCCTTTGGAGAGTGAATTAGGACAGGGAAGACCCTTCTCTCTCTCTCTCCCTAACCTGCATCACTATGCTTTTAAAGAAACTAATAAATAAACTTTTAAATTGAATAAATTAACAAGAGGAGAGAGAAAAAGAACTAAGTTTGTTACTGTGGATCAACCTGCTGTTTTAAACAGGTTTTTGTTTTCTGACTTCCTTCTGTTTGATTTGTTAACTTGGAACTTTGGGCATACCTTATTGGAAGAAGCCTACCTGAAGGTGAAGAGCTCGTAGATTTTCTGGGAGTGGCAGAGGGATGTGGTCCAAGTTGTTATCAGTGAGGTAGAGATGATGGAGATCATACATATCCTGTGAACATGTCACATGCAAGGATTTAATAGCCATTAATTGTGCATGGTTATATTTTCAATTCCCTCTTCATGCAGCTATTTTAATAACATGGTCCAGGTCTTGTCTTGTACAGTTGAAAGAAATTAGTTTTTACATTACTAGGCACTAAAAATGAGTTTTGAAAAATGGATCATAAGCAAATACTTCTTCATGGAAATGAAACATGTTTCTTCAATCTCTAGGAAGAACCTTGCTTTGTTCAGTCTCATATTCTCAGTTTAAACAAGGCAACTACTCATGAAAGACATTCTGTATTGCTGCTTAGAGGATTTTGGCAAGATATAGCAAGAATTTCCTCTGTTTTAGAAGTGTGGAGAAATGAGAATTCCTCCTCAACAAAAGCCTGTTAGCCCAAGTACCCAGAAAGTGGCCTCCTAGCAAGACAGAAAACAGACAACAAAACACTAGCAAAACACTCCAGAGTAGATTGTGACTCCTAACAGCTCATGCCAACATGAGAATGAGCGAGGAGAACCTGTTGCCAAGCTAGAATGAAGTACCCAACCCCTGTGTTCTCCATTAGTGATATCACAGGAGGTCTAGAGGAGAGGCAGGGCTTTCGCAACCACTCAGCAGTAACAAGAATAAGGTCACACGACCCCTGTGACCTGCCTGGGAATAATGTGATGTGCCTTCAAAGACCAATTTAAAATCATTTGTTTAAGGTACGTTTTGAGGAGCAGCTTGAATGGAGTGAGAGTGGGTGAGAAAGTTCATGCTATTGTTATGCTATTGTTTAGAGCCCTAATCTGGCTCTTCACTTAGAAAACAAAATCTGCTCAGTTAACTGAACTCAACCTCCTTTCAAGGTCATTTAGAAGCCTTCTGCCCTCAAAACGCCACCCATACCCTACCCAAGTTGTTGTCCCTATAATCACATAAAAATCTCTCCCTGAGTTCCTGGTCAACACATATTTTCTGGCTTATACCACTTGCAGCAGCTCCTGTAGATGCATCCTTCGGGTAACCACTCACTTCTTATTCCAGCCCTGCTTTATTTTCATGGTGCTTGAGCACCCACAGCATGTACCAGGACAAAGTATTTCCCAAAAACATGAGAGATGCAATTGTGAAGTTCATTTTGAAAGTCAAGTCTCATTAAATTAAATCCCCTTATAGAAATAAAAAAGGCTGGTCATTAATAGCAAGTCCAAGGGAAAGTGACATTTTCTTGTATCAGACTTAAAACTTACTTTAAATGCTTCTTGCTTTATCCCTTTCCTTCCAAGTCTATTGTTGCTAATATCAATAAAAGTCAAAGTAGTTGGCAATTCTGGGAGCTGCCTTATTTTGTTGTCACGCAGGACAAGCTCTCGAAGTTGAGGCAGCTTTCGGAATGCATCTTCATCAATCTCAGATATTAAATTTGATGTCAAATCTATCCTTTTTAAATCATCTAGGAAAAAAATTAAGTACTTAAATAGTCTTGAATATATTTTACTCAAGTAAAAATCTGAGTATAAATTTTCCCACGCATAACATATATAAAATTAATTTAATTAACAACTGATAGTTAATAAAAATAATTATTTTGTAAAATATTTTCTCCAAATACTATTCACATTTATGCATTTGTAAATATTGCAACTTGAGCAAAGACATTGGCACATTATATTTAAAATAACTCATCTTTTCTCCACATTATTTATAAACTTCGGATTTTACTATTTAAAATAGTCTCCCAAGGGGCAAGATTTGGCACAGCAGTTTGTATAATCCTTGGGATATCTTCATCTCATTTTGAAAGACCTGAGTTTGAGTAACAGCTCAGCTTCCATTTCCAGCTTCTTGCTAATGTGCATCGTGGGAGACCTCAGATGATGCTCTGACACTCAAGTGAAAGACCCTGACTGAGTTCCAAACTCCTGGTTCTGGCCAGACCCAGCCCTGACTGTTGTAGACATTTGGGAAGGGAAGCAATAAGTATATTTCTTTCCCTATCAATCTGCATTTGTCTCCATCTGTCTCTCTGTGTCTCTTTGCTTTTCAAGTACAATAAAAATAAATAAATACTTTTTTAAATAAAAACTTTGAAGTACTGGAAAATGGATAGATTTTCTAGTAGTCAAAGATATAAGCATTAAAAAAGAAATCTTCAAATGATTAAAATACTTTATAAAGACAAGTGCCAAAGTTCTTCAAAGTTAGCAACAACTTTGAAATGAGAATGTAGATTTGTTCTGATCAATCATAAAACAGCTATGCTTTAATGGAAGCTTTTTTTAAAAAGCCAAATTCTCATAAATATATGACTTGACATTTACTCTTATGTCATAACATAATAATACATTCCAGAGAATAAAACTATTTACAATTTATAGCTAATTAACATAGTTCATTTGAAAATATCAACAACTATGCCATTTCATAATACCATTAATTGTTTTCCTTATCATTATTAAACTCTGACATATTAAATAAAAATGATTGATGAGCCATATTTTAACATTTAACTTTCATTCTACACTGTAAAAAATTTAGTGATGTCTAAAAAAGAATAGAAAGACATTAATGTGACCATCCATACTTAGGCTTGCAAAGTCATTTTTGTTGATCTTTTTAATTCTGTTAAAGCGAGAATAGAAATAAGCAGTATTCTTGGGCAGTGGAGGAATAGCATCAAGTTCATGGTCATCACAGTATACAGTGGTACTTATACAAGTACACAGAAGGCAAGTTGGAAAGTCTGAAAAATAGAAGTAAATAATCATATATAAATAGCAAAATAATTTATAAGACATAATTTGCTTATGAATGCTTGATGAGCAAGATTAGAGTCTCATACAGATCATCCCAGTATGTTTCATATTTTCTTATAGTTTTCTGTAAATGGAACATTAAAGTCAAATATATCAATTGCAGCTTCTCCCATAACATTTAAAAATTAATTAAAATTATTGAATGGATATAGCATGACTGTTACTTTCATACTTATTAGAAATTCTATTTTCAAAATATAAATGTTAACATTATGCTACTTATAAAGTTAAGAGTTCACATGTCATACTTTCATTGATCTTTGGTTCAGTATTTAAATATTCGATTGAAACCTAATGTGCTTCAAGAAAAAAGTAATAGTTTTAATATTCATTCATTCAATACATGTTATTAAACCCTTTATGTGTAAATGACAGTATGCTAGCTTGTGGAACACTGTACAGCACAAAGCAACCCCGTTCTGTTTTATAAGACAGTATGTGAGATGAATGTCAATCACACAGTTAAATAAAATTGTAACTTTGATAAATATATGTGCATAACATGGGAGAATTTGACCCACTCTGAGAGTCATGGGAGGGGTCCCTTCAGAAGGTGATAATGGAGTTGTGATCTGCAGGAAGAGGAGTTGACTGCACATAGCAAGAAAACGGTATGACAGGCAAGAGAAAAAGCGTGTACCAAGTCCCTTCATTGTGAAGGGGGTTAAAGAAGATCCATATGTATGAACTCTGAGAACATTGTAATGTTTAGGCCATAGCAGACACACACACACACACGCACACACAGAGCTGTTGCCCCTTCTTCACGCTCTGTCTAGTGGTTGTGTAGAGAACAATGAAGGTTTAAAGGAAACAGAATTAATGACTGGAAGGAAAGGAGAAGACAATATTGTGGAGGCCAGGTGGGAAGAGTGTTAAGTGAAAGGAAATAATCAACAGCCTAATGCTGGTGAGATGTCAATGACAGGAAAATATCACTGCTTAGTTATTACAGTAGGGTGGTTATCCAGGAACTTACTCGAACTGTGTATTGATGGAGTTTAAAAGCCAGATTCAAGTCAATTAAGGAGAAAGTTGGAGTTAAGGGAATACTTGAAGCAAATACAGACAATGCTGTTGAGATGTCTGATTGTGAGGAGTGAGAAAATAACTGTAATAGGATGCATGGGTGTCTTGTGTGCTGGAGGAGGGGGAATTGAAGTGGGAGGCATTAGAAGGAAAGGGTCCAGAGGATGAGAGGTTGAATATGAAAAGGATCCTGAGAGAAAAGTTGGAAATAGGGCTCAAAGCACAGTGGCAAGGAGTCACATCCTGCATGTGGGAGAACAGGCAGTTCCTCTGTTGTGTTGGGAGGAGAGGAGTCAGGATACATGGATGCAGACATAGGGAGATGCTATGTCTTGAACCAGAGACCAAGGGTCTGCTGACTGGGAGATTGCATGTTTCTCTGTGAAGGAGGAGGTTAGGACATCTGATAAGCTTGTGGAGTACAGGGAGGAGATGAGAAGGGCTGTTGGATGTCAGATGAATGGAGAAGGTGAGAAGTGATAGGAGAATTGTTGGCATTGTTCGGTGATTAATTCAGCTCTGTTTACCTGAGACTTTTCTGGTTTTCACATTGAGAGTCACACCCAAAATGGAACATTTGGTCACCATAATTAAGAGTCCATTTGCAGAGTATGATCAGGAACCAATTGTTTACCTACTAAGATCATATTGCTATCATCAGATAAAAAATTACTGCTAGCAATCACTTCAGGAATAAAAAAAACTTAAAAATGGAAATCCAGAAATTGTTTTAAAAGCAAGCACTATGAAATATTCAATACTTACTAATTTTTTTTTTGACAGGCAGAGTGGACAGTGAGAGAGAGAGAGACAGAGAGAAAGGTCTTCCTTTTGCCGTTGGTTCACCCTCCAGTGGCCGCTGCGGCCGGCGCACCGCGCTGATCCAATGGCAGGAGCCAGGTACTTATCCTGGTCTCCCATGGGGTGCAGGGCCTAAGCACTTGGGCCATCCTCCACTGCACTCCCTGGCCACAGCAGAGAGCTGGCCTTGAAGAGGGGCAACCGGGACAGAATCCGGAGCCCCGACCTTGACTAGAACCCGGTGTGCTGGCGCCGCAAGGGGGAGGATTAGCCTAGTGAGCCAAGGCGCTGGCCTCAATACTTACTAATTTCTGTAATCATTATAAGTTCATACTTTCTACTTATCAATAAAATTTTAAGTTTAAAAGATAAATAGTTAAAGTCTTTTGAATATTCATGGCCTCATTAATTTAGCTGTAATTGCTTTTATAATTTATATATATTCATGCTGGTTATAATTTAGTTTGAGTTTTTCTACTCACAACTCATGCCTACATTATCTATCTTTAAAATGTTATTCTTAGAAGCTTGTATTAAATAGTTAAAATATGACATTTTGATTTTTAATGTTCTTACTATTTTCAAACTGTTGAACTTTGATGAATGTTTGATGTTTTTCTGGAAATCAGAATGTAAAGTTTTTAACTTCATTATTTACCCTCATACTAGAGACAGAAAGTTCTTAATATTTTATGTTGTTCCAAAGTTGACATTATTGAGCCATGTCTTGAACACAGCCTTTAAAAAGAATGGGAATCATGCTACTGTGTTATTCCTGGCTCAGTGAAAGACTCCAAGAGCAGATACTGCTGCTGTACTGTCAAAAGTAATAATATTCTAGGGATATAAGTTTCTCATTTGGGATGCTTTCTATTGGACATTTGCATTCCTTCTTATTGTGTGTGTGTCTTCCTGGCTCTCGTTATAGTGTATCCTATTATTTAGAGGTTTAAGTATGTAAAAAGAATATGAGGCATCATTAATGACATTGACTTAGGATTTGGTGGTCTGTCTCACATTCTGACGCACGATATTCTACCTCCATAATCGCAGGTGTATATGTGGTATACTGCATTTTAAGTTTCTTATTTATCAAATGCAGAAAACAATGTTATGACACTCCAAGGAATTAATGGACATAAAATATTTAAGTGGCTGGCATATAGAAAGCATACATAGTGGTAATCAGAAACTCATCAAGGCAAAGAGTAGAATGTTGGTTACCAGGAACTGGGGAGAGATAAGGAGAGATGAGATTTTCAACAGATATAAAGTTTCAAATATGCAGGATAAATAAGCTTTAGAAATCTCTTATACAACATAGATAACTCCATGGTATTATTCACTGAAAAAATCATGAAGAAAGTTTACAAAATGGATATACTCCTCTGTAAAGAACATCAGATTGACAACCACTAACATCTATTACTTTTTACTGTGGACCAGGCATTATTTTCATTTCTATAATCCTTACAACAACTTTATTAGGAAAGTTCTGTTATTTATTAAGTCACCTTTTTTAGATGGAATAAATGATGCACAAAAATATTGATACCTTGCTCAAGACATAGACCCAGCAATTCGCAGAGCTGGTATTTGAATGCATGTGGTTTGGCTGCTCTGCCTCTCCAAGACTCAGTTTGACTATGTCCCTTTAGTCCTAGTCTTACTTTGTGCTATATTTTTCTTGCTTCTCCTCTTGTATCCTGCTATGTTCTTTTCAGATGTTTTTCATAATACTTATAGGATATTATTGCTTCTATATATTTTCTTATACTGGACAGAAAGATCCATGAGAACAATATCATTTCAAAAATCAGTTTCATATCTGCAGAGCTTGGAATACAGAAATGACCAATACTACCAAGTCTTTGCATTGGGAACCCGCTCATGTGTTCTACATCCTCACTATGCTGTTCTTGCTGTCTGAAAATACTCTGGGATGAGTCCTGTTGAATACCTTTAAGGTTGACACTGACAAATTATAATAAGAAATACAGACAAATCATGGAATCACACTTAGCACTAGGAATTGCTTGTCATTAACTGAAATGCCCTGATTTAGACTGTGTTCAGGCCATACAAGATGCTATTTGATGTCCTAGGATGTTTTCCTCTGTTGCTTCTAGGACTGAGAGAGGACAAAAAACCATGTTTTCCAATAAACACATAGACAAGAACCCAATGACTGGCTTCAAACTGAGTGTACGAATAGCTGTGTGATGTATGGCTAATTACCACAACTTTGAGTTACAGTTTTCTTGGTAATAATGAAAATAAAAAGCAATACTAGAACATTCACAGAGAACTTATATTATTCCAATGAGATACTGTGAACTGATGAGTCACATGCTCATTCAATGTAAGATATTATTACTAAAATCATCATCATCACTGCCATCCATTATCACTTTGTGTGGCCTGATGTCAAAAGCGCAGATTTGACAGTTTATTGATTGTCTCAGGTTTTAGAGAAGCATCCCACCAAAAAGGTGTGGAGTAGTGATACCAGGCAAATAATTCCTCCTAAAATCTTTGGTTATTTGGCCATTTCCATAAGGTTAAAGTAGAATGCCTGGAATTGGTCTATTTTAGCACAAAATACAAGTGTAACTCCTGAGTTAAACCTAGCTTGTTCCAACACTTTCTCCTTGGGTCACACAGGGTTCCCTGTGGAGTTGGCGCTTGGCAGCTTTGAGAGATGATGAAGTGAACTCAATAATTATTCAGCTATGAAGTGCCCCAACCTTCATTGGTGTGTGGGCCCAGAACCCCGGTGAATTCAGGCTCCTGAGGGGAAGACCCATCAATCAGCCTGGGGGTGGATTCTTCCTCTTCCTCCTCCTGAGTTTCTTCTGGCTTTGGGGGCAGAGTGAGGAGCTCGCTGTTTCCGGAAGGCATCATTGTTGCTATTTCACTCTGAAAAAAAAGTAAAATTTCATCAAGCAACCTTCTGAGTCACCCTGTGGCAGCGTTTTGCCACCTGACACTCATGTAAAATGTGTCCATCTTTGCCACCAGAGGGCACTGGTGTTCTGAAGTTCTGCACAGTGTGTCTGGCCTGCCTACTTGACAGAGCACATATGGTTCTAGAAATTGTTGTTGTTTCTAATTATTTTATTTCTCAAATCTTGGAAATTGCATCCAGTGTGTTTTGGGGCCTTTTTCTTTTAACATCTTACTTGTCTGTTCATTTTTGTAGGTTTTTAAAAATCTCACTTATTATTTTCTAGTAATACTTAGTTTTATAAGAATACATTATTATAGTGAAAGACTCAAATTAATCTAGAAATGTGCTGAGAAAAACCATAAATCCCCTTAACTCTCTAGTTATAATTTTACTCCCCCTAAAGACAGTAAAGGATAAAAGACTTTTGTGTATTTTTCTGTCCTTTTAATACTTGATTTCCTGGATTCATTACTAAGAGTTCACTCTTCCTCTCATAGCACTTTACCAAAAAGAATCCTTTCTACTAAAATAAAACAGGATGGTGACAGAAAAACTATATGATTTGATTATGATATACCATTTCTCATACATGTTTAATGTTATTGGAATAATATAGACATGAACAGTATTTGGACATGTTAAAATTAACTTTTCACTGAGATTGGCAATAGGAGGCCTTTATAAAATTGCAAAAATATTCAACATTCTTTATCAGAGACTATTCTTGCTTTTTTACTTGCATATTTGAAGTATTGTTTTGTTTCTAAAGATGTTGTTTGCATTTAAAATAAGCCCTCACTTTCAGCATCCTTCCCTTACCATTGTCTATTGCTTTTTAATTATGAGCTAAATGTCCCTGTCCCCTACAACCTTGTAAGGTTGGCCTGGAAATCTGCTCACCATAACCAGGGGAGGATGACATCCACACTCTTTCTGGGTCAATGTCTTCATCCTAGCCTCAAATTCCAGATTCTCCCTTGACTATACCAATGTGAGGAGCCTTCAGAAACTTCACGGAAAAAAATTTAAAAATGTTTATTTTTGTGCAAAAATTATCTTAAATCCATGCAAATGTTTCATAATATCTACCTTCATGGACCTTTGCATGTTCTCTTAATCCTTTCCACTTTTTTCCTTATTTGCTTTCATGAAAAAAGCAAGGAAACATAATTGCTTTTCAAATTAATGAAAAAATGATACACAAAGTATTCTTTCATCTGTTAGATCAGTACATAATTAAACCAGATTTTTTTTATTTTGTAGATAACCATAAGGTTTTAAAGATATACCTACTATTTATTGTCTCCAGATTTGAATACACTATATTTTAAATGAAACATCTTTTTTAAGAAACCTTAACCTTTTGTCACTTTACATTTCTGAATTATGCCTCCTTCTGTTTCCATAGTTCATTTTGTTTTGGCATTCACTGTATTGTATTGGTTCCACTAGTCTTCTGTGTGTCCAAACCTACTAGTTGGTAAACAGAGTCATGTCTCTTATATTTGCAACTTTAGGCTGTAACATATTAGGCAATAGATCAATAATTAAGTAATTGTTTTAAAGATTTGCTTATCTTAAATATATCTGATTCACAACTCTATGTTTGATTTTAGAGGTTTTGCTGAAAAGATTCAATGAATGTGCTAATGCTTACTTTAAAACATTTAAGTCATGAAATGAAACCAAGAGCAGATTATGCTGTATTTGATACTTTAGGAGCCATACATGAAGGCAGTATAAAGTGTGGCCAGAAAGCTCCAGCTGAGATGACTGGGTGCATTTCTTTAAAAGGCGACATTTGGTTTCCATCAGTAGATTCAGAATGAGACAGATTCAGAAGGAATGAATTTGCACAGAGACCAAAAAGAGGCTCCAGCAAGGGCGGAAATTGAGACAGATGTTTCAGGAATGGGAGCAGCCTAAAGGGAGAAACACATTCCAGACACATTGCCTTGAATCTGTAGCTTTGTAGGAAAGTGTTTGCACATACTTTCTACAGATAATTGTTTTTCCACTGATTTGATGTGAAGCTGTAAGATCTCATTTGTCATCCAGTATAATGAGGCAAAACAGCTTTTGTGTGTATCAGGGACCATTTTGTTCATGCTTGTGAATAAGATGAGAATACACAACTTTTAAAACTAAGGAAAAAGAATTCCTTTTCAGTTAGGCACAATTGTGGAGCTATAATCTCACAGCACTGTTTGAGAGCCTTTTGTGTTGTAGACCCATTTAAACTTACCACTAAATAGAAATCATTTGAGCTTCTTTTCCCCTCTTTTAACAATTTTTCATACTACAATATGAAGATATGAGGCAGTACATGTTAAAAAATGAGCCCAGGGAAACATAACCACCTGGTTCTCCATGTGGCGGAATTTTATGCTTATGCTGCAAAAACCTAAATTTGGATATAAACACAAATGGCCAGAATACATCCTGGCTCCCTTTCTTGAGCTACAGTTAGTAACACTCAAATGCAAATATAATAGATCCCCTTACATAAATATTCATTAGTTCATCAAGAGTTCTTTTTCCTTTACCTCCTTATTTTACTAACTTGATTTTTATTGAATCTGCTGTTAATCTATTCATTATATTTCTCTAAAGTATAGAAACATTATGACATGTAACTTGATCTTAGGCATCACTACACTTGTAGATCCTGGTACCAGTAAGGTTTGATTTACAGTAAATTTTCTCTTCCTCTTCTCTTGTTTGCCTGGCTTTAGAACTGTAGCTAAATTATGTCGTGGTAGACTATGCTTACCAGAACATTCATTTAGCATATATATAGCAGAGATGAAAAGAGAATAGTCCAAGGAAAGTGATTGGTGAGTTCTCAGAGTGAAGAGAATTTTCAAGAAACAAAAATCCTCAGGTGTGCCTCAGTTGCTCCTTGATCAGCCTCGAGTCCATGAAAGCAACCCAGCACCTGAATGTAATTTCCATGCAAATAACTGGGTGTCTCAGAAGTTTGTACTCTCTGGAGAAATAAAGACACTCAGTAGAAAAAAATCCCTTTGCATTTCAACTATCAATTTGTACTGATACTTTTACCAGCAATATTTATGCTATTGTTACCAATTCTGAAAAAAAAATTAAGACTTTCATTTTTCAATTATCAGCTGAGTTGAGCAAAGTAGAGTCCCTGTAAAAATTCTCAGCACCATTTGAAGTTGTGATAACACTTGGCCAGAAATGATTTTGATTTGGTGCTGGCATTATGGTATAGAAGATACAGGAGGAAAGCTTCTGCCTCTGATGCCAGAATCCCATATTGGAGTGCTGGCTGCTCCAGTTCTGATCAAGCTCCCTGAAAGTGTACCAGCGAAGGCAGTGGGATGATTGGTCAAGTTCATGGACCTCTGTCACCCGTGTGGCAAGTCAGGATGGGGTTCCTGACTCCTGGCTTCAGTCTGGTCCAAAGCTCACTTTTGTAGGTGTTTGAGAATTGAATCTGTGTGGACGAAGGATCTCTCTCTGTTTCTCTCTCTCCTTCTGTTACTCTGCTTTGCAAATAAATAAATAAATAAATTGTTTAAAATAAATAAATTTGATAAATTCCATTTGTTCATAGCCAAATTCACATCTATATGATCCGTGTAACTTATTGCTACTGCTAAGGTTAATTAACTTGTTATTCTTAATTTCCAAGAAAAATACTAAAAAAAGTCTAGTTAGAAAAACTGAATTAGTGTGTTCAGAAATATCAGCAGTCACATTTGCTGATTTCTTTGTCAGAATCTTTCCGGTGTAGTCTTATTGTTGAACACCTTGATAATACTCGAAAGGTTGTGATGATTATAAACAATTATCTTCAGTCCAGCATTGTGTTTAGTTACTAAAATTCGATGTGGTTTCGATCTTTTTGTATTTTTTTATCTTAGTACTTAAACTGCAGCTATAGTGCTATGAAAGGGCTAAGGTTACCTTCATGAATACATGAAAGTATCACCAAGTCAATGGATGAATTGTAACTGATGGACAGTTTACCAGTCTTTGTTATTATCAAATCAACCAGACTGAATGTCTGTGCCAAGAATTATGCTTAAGTTATGATCAACTTTCCATTTCACTTGTCTGTAGTGTTTTCTATCAATGCCATTTTTTCTATCAATACCATTATTTTTTTTCCCCTATCATCTTCATGGTCTAAATTACTAACCTCTGTTGCTTGAATACAGCAACAGTCTGTACAAAGGTAGTACCTATGCAGCAAGAATGAACTCTTAAAAGACAAGCTAATCATATCAAGTCTGGTAAAATCCTTTAATGGTCTTTTCTTGTTCTTGATAAAGACAAGCCTTGCAGAGGTACTGTAACATATCGGTTAAGGGGAAGGATTCAAACTAAATGAGTTTGAATCTAGCTTCACTTAGAGACCTTGGACGAATTAGTTTGCATCCTTGAGCAACAGTTCATCTATTTGTAAACTTCTGGTCTACATAATACAGCTGTATTACGATTGAAAATCCAATGCATATAAAACTTTTAAAAATAATTCCAGATACATAGTAACTGTCATAAAATGTTTGCTATTATTATTAGAACAAGTTCAAAACCCTTTTGTTTACAGGATCCTGTGTGTCCTGTGTGATCTGGTCCTTTCTTTTCTTTTTTTTTTTTTTTTTTAAAGCACCCCCTGGCAGTGACATGGGGTGAGAACTGGTTTTTTTTTTTTTTTTTTTTTTGAGATTTATTTTATTTGCTTGAAAGACAGAGTTACAGAGAGGTAGAGCCAGAGAGAGAGAGAGAGAGAGAGGTCTTCCATCTGCTGGTTTACTCCCCCAAATGGCTGCAACGGCCAGAGCTGAGCTGATCCAAAGCCAGGAGCCAGGAGCTTCTTCCAGGTTTCCCACGTGGGTGCAGGAGTCTAAAGACTTGAGCCATCTTCCACTGCTTTCCCAGGCCATAGCAGAAAGCTGGATCAGAAGTGGAGCAGCCAGGACTCGAACCAGCACCC